TATATATATATTACTGTAAATCTTATGAGAAAACTACCTTTTTATAGTTCAGCCTGTTCCACAGGGTCACCTTGTTTAAACTTTGAGAATAAATTCATGCATGCATAAATTTCATACAGCGTGATGTCTTAAACAAAGAATGACCTGCAGCTTGTCTGTTTGGTGAAGCTCGCTGACATCTGAAATGTCACTTTTTAAATTACCTGCAACTTCACTTTAAAGTTCCTCCTTTTTTGTATTATTAAGCTAGATAAACACTGTGGCTTTCTTGGCCCATATAACTCTCAGGCGTACCGAGCACTTTCAGAGCAGTGGACTCTGTGTAGATCAGAGGGTTGATGACTCTGCAGGTGTACAGTCCTTCATCTCCTACAGTGACATTATGAAGCTGCAGCGACGCATCACTCTGACGCAGGCACGTTTCATTCACCACAGAGCCTTCTTTGTACACATGAGCTCTTCCATCTTCCAGCGTGTACACCATGCTCTTCTTTGCGTGTTTGTCCACCATGTTCCATTCAATACTAAGAGCACTCCACTCCACTAGCTTATGCGGTGTGTCGAACATGCAGCTGAGCGTTACCTCATTGCCCACTAAGACACTGAGCTCTCTGGTGATCTCAGCCAAGGAACCTGGAAGGAGTCATGTAGACTTTGAGAACGAAAAGGACAGAGCTGTCATTTACAAGCCGGAACACTGACAAACACTCACCTTTACAGTACAAGGCAAGAACCATGAGTTTAATCGTCATGTTTGTAATACGCTGCTGATCCATGGGGTCTCAGATGTTACCGTCACTGTAAATTAAAAATGAAAGCAACATGTGACACATTCGTTTTTACTTGGGTGTGTTCGCACAATTCAAACACAGCTAACTGAAGATCACGTGGTGCGTTACAAATCCTGTGTTATTAAGCATGGTTGTGGTGGCTAAACATTCACCTTAAGTGTCTGCTTATCAGTCATAGTGCACCTCCTCTTGGACTTTGACCTGCCTACCTGACTTCTAGTGCCATTCAGACTCAGAATTTTAACTGCAGAAGAAAACCAAAGAGGCACAAGGAGAATCTGCAAACACTATCCAGCCAACCATGAAATTTAAACCCAAAACCCTGTATGTATGTCGTCACCAGTAAGTTCTGGTTTGGTCTAACCATTACAAATTGGTACTCGTGAAAATTTCTGGTAATTTCTATTCCAAAGTTTGTTCTGCATCCAACATGTTCACTGTATTGCTGTAAGGTCTTTACCTTACAATATAAAGCTCCTTGAGGCAACCGTTGTTGGAATTTGCTGCTATATAATTAAAACTGACACTTGAATAGCTGACTGTTCTCTACAAGTAACCTTCTCCGTGATTGAGGAAACACTCATTTCTGCCGTCTTTAAAATCCTGCATGACTGCTTCAGCTTATCAGTGCTCATGTCAAAAGGAATGCAGTAGTTTTATAAAGTTCTTAATACTAAATTGATCCACTTGTGTGTGTGTTCATAAATTCAGTTTACTGGTTCAATTTTTCATGGAACACAAACTACTTGATATATATATATATATATATATATATATATATATATACACACACATATCTATCTATGTATGTCTCAATTCCCTTTCGCCCCTACGGGCAGTCTATCCTTCAAGCTCGGGTCCTCTACCTGGGAGCCTGACCCTCAAACCTGAGAGCTTGAGGATACTGAGCAGTACCTTAGGTGCTTTTATATAAATCACCACATAAACTGCAAGATCTGAGGCCCCATTTATTAGAAATATTGTTATATTCAATTACAATTTTTGCATAATGTTAATTTACAGACTGTGCACAACAGTGTCTTAATTTCAGCGTTATGAAATTCCACAAGTCTGCCCCTGTACACACATGGGGAGTATCTTCACCCCACCATTGACCTCTTCCTTCCCCTCAACCGAACCTCGTCAAGCTTTTTAATGACAGCTGATGACTTCTTGGATGACGCTGTGTAGCTTTTCAGCAGCTTCTCAAACAGTTCCTCTGTGTTGGGGTGGGTACTGAGGAAGGCTTTCTCCAGCACATACAAGTCCACACCCTTATCCTCGGGCAGAGCAGAGATGTAACTCAGACCAAAATCTATGAGGACCAGGTCGGATTCTCCTCCCTCTGGGCTGGGTCTCAGCAGCATGTTGGAGGTGGTCAGGTCTCCGTGGATGACATCTTCATCGTGCATTTTAGCCAGGACCTGCCCCACGCGCTCGGCCAGCCTCTGCAACGTCAGCTCCTTGCAGGAGTCAGACTGTTGAGCAGATGCAATATAGTCACGCACAGTTGAGGAACCCACAATGTCCTCCAGGAAGATACAGTGGCAGGTATAGTCCACAAAGTAGACTACAGGGGCAGATATTCCTGTGAAGAAGAAAAAGTCTGATTTTACAAACTTTGTGTGACTACAATACCATTCAATTATCGATTAAGGTTTGTGTGTGGCTAAAAGATGTTTCAGTGTGGGCGGAGCAGATTTTAGAGAAAATGTTCAGAGTTGAATAGATAACACAGAAGTTGAGAATGCACAACAAAACATAAGAGATAAAATGTGAGAAGGGTTGAATTTGTAATTTTTCATGAAGCTGACTTTATGCAGAAGCTGTGACTAAACATCTGTGGAAGCATTTGCTCATCTATTGTGCCCCCTTGTGGAGAAGAAGGGGTTTGTACACAACATATACCAACTATGAGTTATGTAGGGATCACTTTCTTGCATTTGAATGAAACGAGCAAAGGAATAAACACATTCCACTTTGTTGTTGGCTGCTTAATCATTTGGTCACAAACCAGAAAACTAAATCATGTGCAAGTATAAATATTCACAGATCTGAAGCTTCCAACAAGATAGAACCGCTGCTGTGTACGTCTCTGCAGACTGAATATAGTCTGTTGTTCAGTTAATAAACGCAATTTAGCTGAAAAGTCAATCTGGCGTAATCATTGACTCACGACCAGCAAAGCCAACAGTCTACCCAGTGGGTTAGTTGGCTACAAATATTCTTAAACCACCTTAGGGTGGTGCTAATTGGATCACCTCCACCAGCGGAGGACTTGCCTGCTCTCCGACAGCGTAATATGGCGCGGACCTCCTGCACGGTCCTGCGGTGTGTCAGCTTGTCGTCTAAGGCTGGGTGTCTGTAGCGTTTAGGGAACCTTTCCTTCACTATTGTTGGCGTTCCCAGAAACTCGGCCCGGTACACCCGGGCTTCTGCCCCTTGCTTCAACAACTCTGCTTGCCTGAGGAACTCAGGGACCGCCATGTTGCTCTCCCGCGCCATGTTTACTTCCTCCTCCACGCTGTGCTCCGTTTTCCTCCGTGCTCTTTTTTTACGTCTGCCACCTAGCGACCACAAAAATACCTACACATAAATACAGAGAAACGTTTTCGATGTAGAACACATACACACAAATAATACACAAAATATACACAAATAACCTATGACTCACAAAGTTCACGCCATCTAAAACCGGCTTCTTGAACATGACTCGGGTTCATTGTTACTATTAATGCAATAGACCACCTTTTGAATGTGATTCAAATCATGGAGCTGAGAAATCTGCAGGAGCTGTGTGATGGCAGCATGTCAACATGGACCAAACTCCCCAAAGAATGTTTTCACCACCTTGCAAAAACAATGCCTTTGAAAACTAAGGCGGTACAACACGGTGTACCTAATAAAGTGGCCAGTTAGTGTATTCATTCAATTCGATTCATTTATATAGTGTCAAATCATAACAACAGTCGCCTAAAGGCACTTTATTTATAATGTCAAGACCCAGCAGTAATAATAGTATTAACATTTTAAGTGTAGCTTGCATTGATACAACCTGTTACATCCATATCAGCATTTTCAAATTGAAGACAGCCGTCGGCCATTCTGCTGCTTACCTAAACCCTTCAATCCCAGTTCTGAGCGGGTGTGGGTTTTTTGTTTTTATTGCTTTGTCGCAGTCATGTTTGGTGAGGATGATTTTATTTAACAGCTTTACTCCTGGCACCTGATAACCACTCCGAGTTATTTGCCATTACTGACAAAATACAAGATGGGGTCAGGATGAAAAACTGTTCAGCAAATTAAGGATAAAGTAGAATTTGTAAATCCTGTGGCTTTGTTATATCACTTTTCTTTTCTTTTTCTTTAAGTAACTCAAAGATCCCTGAATCTACATTTCTGAGAGGATTATGAAAAAGAAAAGACATTGATAGAATTTTCAAAGGGAAAAAAACTTTTTTAAAACTTAAAACAGGTTTTAAAATTTGTTTAGACAAAAAAAAAATAGCTGCCCACAGTAGTTTCATCATCACAGTAGTTTCAACATGGAGGGTGGTGAAGCTCATTTCTAGAAATTTGAGGTCAAATTGTCTTCTTTATATATACTTTGGAAGACTCCTACAAAACCATTAAAAAAAATAATTCCATAGTACATTCTGTCCAAAAAAATAATCCATTGGCAGGCTGAAGACAAATGGCACCTTCCTGGCCTGCCAGATCTTGATAAATTTAAAAGGGGATGGCAAATAGGAGGAGAGGAGGAGAGGGGCATGAAAACAATGATAAACTTTTGTATGGCAGGAAGTCGGCGTTGATAGACATACCACTGGAAGGGGGATTTGTGGGGTGTGGTCCTGCTATTGAACTTCAGATACAGATACCAGTATGAATTCCATATTAAACACATATTTCTAAGGTACCATCAGCGCAACATTTTCATTGAAAATTAAATTGATTATATGAAGTAAGAGCAGAATTTCACCATTTCCAGTTTACCAAACCAGAACAAATAGCAGGCACACACAAACAGAGGTTGTTAAACAGTATTTCTGTTCAGCTACAATATAGTGTAATTAATTAAGGCAAGCCTACAGTGTATACAGTATATAGATTTCTTACATATCTCTTTTTAAAATGTAAGAATATATTCTACAGCTTTAATTATTCTAGAAACCTCCATTGTCAGCACTGCAGATTATGTGATACTCAATACGCTCAAAATGCAGTACGAGTATGTTTTTAACTCTTCAGCTCTTTATGCTACTTATAAAATAAATAGTTAACTATAACTCAGCACATCACTTTCACAGACACGTTAAATGGGGTTTGGGTTTTTTCCCGTCATTATTGTGTGTGTGTGTGTGTGTGTGTGACAAAGCGAGCGGACTGGTCCTCCTCTTTGCTCTGGCCGGCTGTGGGCGGTGCTTGCAGATCCTCTGTCTGGATTACCTTCCCGGGGAACTTCCATAGCTGACGACCTCTGGCGTCAAAACTTGGCCAAGAAATTCTTCTTTGCAATTCGACACTGCTGCCACGTAGCCCCAACTTCCTGGAGGGCCAGAGGTTTTCCAGGAGCATTTTTGTGTATTGTTTCCTGCTGCCAGAGGTGAGTCCATTTCTCTGTCCTACCCAAAAATATATAAATTCACAGCGGATTGCCCTGTGTGTGTGTGTGTGTGTGTGTGTGCGTGCGTGCCCACTGTGCTTGCTGAAATACAGTGGGAGGGATGAATAATGGAGCTACATTTCTCCACAACAGAAGAAGCTGGAGCGTTAAAATAGGCTGCAAGAGAGTTGTGAAGAGGAATTTTTACGGAATTTTGAATTTTACGTAAATATGGTGGGATTTACGTAACTATAAGTAAAAATGTTATTGAAGTGTTTTAAACAGGAAATGTTTTACTTTTTACTGTCATGGTTTTAAGTGTGAACCCCAGCCGTGCTACAGATTTCTAAACATCGTATTTAATTCCAGGTGGA